TGACAAAATCGCTAAGTTGGCAACACTGCACCGTTCCCCTGTTCTTTTGGATCTATGCGAGGTCCGTTTGGATTCCATTGCCACCTTAAGTGCACATAAAACAACTTATAAAACTAAAATAATTACCATGATTCAGAAACTTCAATTAATCTGCTTTTATCTTTTAGATAATTTGTACAATGCAGTTCAACAAAACCAAACTGGAGTTTACACTATCGGAACTTCGGTATTTTATCTAGACCCTTTATCACGAAGCAAAATTATTTTACCTTTCATGTTGCTTTGCTTATATTTGGAAGCCCATTCCCGCTACTCAGATAAAAAAAACGACTTAGCTATCTCATAATTATCACTTAATATCTCATTATTATGACGAAGTATGATATAGTGTTAATGAACATTTTGTAAAACTAAATCTAAATGATCACAATGACAGCTAGAGCTGGTTTCCATTGTGGCACCAGCTGAGTTGTCTTTGGTCAATCATTGTCACATCACCCCAGTTCTAGATGAGCTGCACTGGCTCCCAGTGACTTACAGAGTGAAGTCCAAAATTCTCCTTTTACATACAAAATCATACATAACATGGCTCCCGGTTACCTAGCAGAACTCCTCGCTCGGCTGACACACATTTGCTGTGTGTTCCAAACATGCGGTACAAGACTCGTGGTGAACATGCATTTGTTCACGCAGCTTCACAGCTTTGGAATAGCCTGCCACTCTCGGTTCATTCGGCCACATCTATCGATCTGTTTAAGTCTGGTCTCAAAACCCATCACAGCATCGCTTTTGATACACGATCCTATGGACAGGACTGTAGCAGGTGTGATTGTTTACAAGTTTTATTGTTTCATACTTTGTTCTCTCTTCAAAATTTTTTTTTTCATCTTTCATAGTTCATATTACACTGGAAACCAAATGAAAGGTATTTTATTTGAGGTTGGTTAACCTTTTATTGATCTGGAGAAGCTTTAAATGACCGATCTGCATTTTGGTGATGTAGATGCAATGTTATGAGAAAACTACAAATGGGAGAGGACTTCTCAGAAGTCCCACCCACCCGAGAGGGTTGTGTCAGAATTGCAAACAAAAATTCAGGGATTGCAAAGGACAAAGTCATGAATGTAACTGAAAATCTAGTAGTGAGAGCAAAGCTCTAAGCAGCAAGAAGGAAATCAAGTAAATTGTTAACAAAAATACATTGAGTCTCATATAATAAAAGGAAAAAAAACTTTATTACTCATTTTGAGTAGTTAATTCAGACAGTAAGTTTTATTTTTAAAAGATTTTTTTTCTTTTGCCAATATTTTTTTCTCAGAATTTTTTTTTTTGTGTTCTCTTCAAAGTGTTTTTTCTTGAACTTATTGGCACAAATCTAATCCCATACACCAGGAGTGTTAAACTCAAATTCACACTGGGGCCGAAATGAAAATCTGGGATGGAGTCGAGGGCCAAACTTCATATTTTTTTAAAAAGTGACAGCAAATATGCACATTTTCTTTATCAACATATATGCAATTTTGAACCTTTTCATTTGGGAACAAACTTACTTTTGCATTAACACTGAATGTGCAATAATCAAATGACACACAAGCAAGTCAGTTTTAAATGAAACGCATCAGTGGTATTCATTACTTGTGGTATATTCAGCATTTTAAAAATCTATTCAGGATTTATGTTTTCTTGTTGTTTATTCATTTTCTTATTTTTTATTCTCCTTTTTTTCTCCTGTAATAAGTGTCATCGCTGCTGTGACATCTAGCTTTCCCCACTGAGGAACAATAAAAGGGATTTTCTATTCTATTCATCTATCTGCAGCCTTTCCACTTCCTGTTTTACTGTAGGTTAAATCTTTTCTCATGGGCCAACAACAAAATAAAGATATAATTTTATCTTAAATGAAAATGCAATATCTCAGCTGTTAACTTTCATGATTTGGAGCAGAAAAAGAGCATAAAACCAACTTTGCTCCACTCATTTACTGTGATGCTCACCTGTTCCAGCCAGATACCTGCATCATGGGGTTGATCTGAGCTGAGGAGGAGACTCCTGTTGTTTTGTTCATCTTCATCATAATAATGACAACATTAGATGACAACAGGTGCTCACATAGGTTTGTGCTGATGAGCATGTCTGAGCAGCTTGACCACGTTGTTGTGTGTCAGGGAGGAAAAACTACAGCAGCCACAGAGTCATGCTGGTTTGAGCGTGTTGCTGCTCGCTGGACTTATATCAGCTCTGTCTGGAAGACAAGTTAGTTGGAAAACTTTCTTTTTCAGTCGTGAACACATTACTGAGCGGTTAAAATCTCCGTTTCTGGGCTTCAACGTCGGAAAATAGCTGAGTAAACACAGCGCTGAGTGAGAGGAGTGTTTAGTTTGTCCGAGACAGCGGTGCTGCAGACACCCGGCAGCAGACGCTGGAAAAAACACAAAGGAGGGGGCGATTCGGCTCCGCGCTAACGCCGCAAAGCATCATGGGAGTTATAGTCTTTGCGGTAAAATCAGCCAGTGGGTCAGTTTCAATATATTTTTGACATTCATCTCGCGGGCCACATAAAAATACTTCGCGGGCCGCATTTGGCCCGCGGGCTTTGTATCTGTGACATGTGCCATAAACGATCAGTGGTTTTAGCTTTGCTGACAAATACCTTATTGAGGACGGGGCTGACAATGAAAGGGGATGTAGCTCAGTGGTAGAGCGCATGCTTCGCATGTATGAGGTCCCGGGTTCAATCCCCGGCGTCTCCATTTTTCTTTTTCTTCCTGCTCTGGGGAATATGTGAAGATAACTGCAGCCGCTGCTTCAGGTCTAAACTGGTCACGACCAAATACATGCAAACACATGCGAGAACAATGAAATGAGGAAGTGAGACGCTTATCCATGAAAATGTTTGAGACTTATATTCTACTTTTTCATACAAAATCCAAAACAAATATGTTATAATTTAGCAGTAGATTTTTGGAGAAATACTAGCCCAGAGTACAAATCAATGTTTATGAAAAATTGTGTTTGTGTCACTTAATGCTTTTCCATACAATGCGGACTGGTGTCACCGAATGAGGATTTGCCACCACCAGGTGACTAACATACCACACTGGTCCTGTCCACTTGTCCAGGACTTCACTGGTGAGTTTCATAGCTGCACCTCTTTTTACCATTTCATGGATCTGGGTTTCATAAGCGATTTTCCATTCTGGCTCTTTGCTCAGTTGCTTTTCCATCCTTAAGAAACAAGCCTGGACTGCCCCTTTTGTTGTTGGGGAGGGAGGCGGGATCTTCAGTCCAAGGATACTTTGCATCCCAGTGTGGTGATGGTGTGTGAGCATCTTTCACCATGTAAGTGAGGCCTCCTTTAATAATCTCAAACTCTCTTTCCTCAGCCAAGGTCATGTCCCTTCCTCCTGGTAGACAATTTCCGCAACCTCCACATCTTGGCTCGCATGCGGCTCCGATGCTGTCCCAGTGCCACCACTCAAGGAACTCACGGTTACTGGCAGATGTAAATCTGGACAGAGGTGCATCTTCCTGCAGTTGTCAAGCTGGCTTGGTTGCTGGAACTGTAATTTCCTGATATTTGACAGCAGCGGTTCGCATAGAGCGAGCAAAGTGGGTTCTTGACTCATATGCTGCCACGTCTACTTCTTCAAACAAATCAGGATGGGCTCTGCCCACTGTTTTTCCCAATGGGCCTTCCCACAAAACAAGATCTCCAATGACTTTAACTCTTTGGGGTGCAAGTCTTCCCCCTCGGTGGCTTAAGAGAAGCTCAACTTCGGCTGGTCTTTTCAGGTCTTTGAGCTGGATGTCTGGGAAGAATCTTTTCAACTTTTCAGCCTGAAAGCCAGAGCAGACTAGTTGATGTGCTATTTCAGTCCCCTTTAGAGTCTTGACTCTGACTTTTAGGACCTTGTGATAACTTCCATGGTCATTCCACCAACCCCATGTACAACCAGGGTTATTTCTTCACTCCTGAGGCCCAATCTTTCAGCAGCTCTGTGAGTTATGTAATTGGTGTCTGATGCTAGGTCATTGAGGGTGCCTATCTTCTGACCTGCATTGGCCATCACTTGCATCAGCATCATGATCACCGGAAGTTCAACCAGCTCGTTCCTCTTCAGTAATTCAGACTGGCCTGCAGCTTTGAGTGTAACTGAAGATTTGTTTGTGAATGCCTTTCTGCACTGATCTGCTAGTTCAGGGAAAAGTAGTGATAAAAATTCTTCCTGTTCTTCTGTGAACTTTCCTTTTCCTCCTCCGTCTTTTCCAACTTTGCCCCCTTCTCTTCTGGTTTCAGCTTTTGGACACAGGAAATAATGGTGGTCTGGACCAGATTCTCCTCTTTTGCAGTACGTGTTCTTGCATAGGAAATTGTCTTTGCAGTATCCGTCATCATCATGGTATCCTAAGCATTTATTGCATGTTCCCAGCTTCTTCAAAACAGACTTCTTTTCAGATAATTTCAAAGCTTTAAATTTCTTGCAGAAGAAGATTTTGTTGCTGTGCCCAGGGGGGCTGCCAGAGATTTTGGGCCCCATGAAAAAATATCAAGTTGGGCCCCCTGGGGGCTCATCCATAGCTGGAGCTGGGGTTCCACCCTCCCAGATTCGAAGGGAGAAAAAAAATGTAATATATATACTTTATATTAGTGTTTCAGTTTTACTTAATTATGTAGGTCTACATGCATTCTTACTTATTTACATATCATTTTCACCAGCTGTCTCTCAATAAACAGTGAATTTCCCTCAACAGAATTAGCAATATCACTGCTGGAAAAAGCAGGAAATGCACATGTTGAAAGGTGTTAATCTCCTTTTCCCTATAACTCCCTTAAAATGTGTTTATTTATTCTAAAATTTTATTTGATGATTAAATTCAAATTTGGATATCTAATTAAATTTCCATGTTGTGTCAAAGCTTTACATAACTACGTTTTCAGCTGTCTTTCCTCTTGAAATCAAGTATTTCTGTATGACTGATAAAAATTAAGGATTCACTGCTCACAAGGTGACTTCTTTATTAAGTCTCCATGGCTTCATCATAGACACAAAATGAATAAGCACACAGTTCAAACCGGAGTCAGTTAGGGTTACATAATATTTTAAAGTTGGTCAACGTTGAATGAATACGTATATAAGTCTCTACACACCCATTTTTCTCAACAACAACAAAACAGCTAAAAATATATTCAGCCTTGATTGTACACAGCAAGATTTATTATTTACAGTGATATAATTAATAATGTTCGATAATGATCAATACTAGATTTCATATTTTATTGTGTTTAATATTATATTAAGTTTATTTATTACAATTATTAATAGCTTTTGTTTCATTTCTGCTCTCTGATGAATTATTTGGAAATCACTGATTTTTGGTTCGTGTTCTAAAAGCTACAAAAACAAATTGCATCTTGTAAAACCTCCCATAATTCAGTCTGATTCAAAACATTTCATTTCAAGGTGTTTACTAGATGAAGAGGTTTTTTTTTCTTGAATGATTCCTTAAAAGGTGCTTCACAGTAATAATCTCACAGTAATTTATGTTACTTTAACAGACTAAATAACAATGCTTCAACCTGCCCAGCATCCAAAACAATCTATACATTTTTACTGATTGATATATATAATTATCATTATGTGGAAAAACAATGTGTTTATCACCAAAAATAGCCTTTTTATATTCCTTTGTAATAGTACTTACAGAGAGCCTTAAGTGATTCCCACAGACCCCCTTAAATGAGGCTGCTAGCTAACATGCTACATTGCTCACCATCTTGAGGTTCATTGGGTTGTGAGGGGACACCTGCTGACATATCATCAGCTGCTGATTCTGGTAGGGACAAGGACAACAACCCACTAACCATAATTAGATGAAACATAGTTCCTCTCATTGTGGATATCAGAGCTAGCAAACAGGTTGAATTTAACCACTCACTAACTAAACCCACCTTTCTTTCAGAAAAACTGTGTGACATACTGACGCTCTCTCTTCTGCCCGTCCTCTTTCTCCTTTCTTTCTTCCCTTTTCTGTGACCCAGACTTTGTTTTTGCAGACATATTTTTACTGCAGCCTTGGCTCTGCAGCCTTGCCTGCTACGCGCCCCTCGGCCAGGTGGACTGTACCATCTTATGCTGTTGGGTGGGGGGTTCAAATTAATTAGTCAAAATCAAGTAGGGACCTCTGAATAAATATACATTTCATAAAGACTAAAAGACTGTTTAATGTCTTAAATGAGTAAAAATACTGCAAAGTACTTGTGATTTTTAAACTTATTTTTTTATTCAACTTTGAAACATTTTTGGGTCCCTGACAGCTGTGGGCCCTTAGAATCTTCCGAATCTTTCACCGCTTTACGGTGTCCCTGGCTGTGCCCATAATCACCACAGACACCACAACCCTTTTCAACTTCTTTTGCTGTAGCTCTGGCTGATGTAGACTTTCTTTCATGCCTTTTTTCTGGCTTGTCCACCTTGTCCACAATTCTAATGGGCTCGACACACGGGAGGCGACATCGCCTCTCCTCCATTCGTTTTCAATGAGACATGCGCGACAAAAGGATCATCGCGGGTCTCCCTCCTACCAAGCGAAACGCGAAAAACATGCGTGTGAAATTTTGCGCTCGTGCACGTGTTGTGCACAGGCGACCCAGCGACGCGATCCCAGAAAGTTGAAACATTTTCAACTTTTCATCGCTGTCGCTCGGACAAGGACCAATCAACGGAGGTTTCATTCATTGACCAATGAGCGGACAGGACGCTCCGTACATCTCCGAGCAAACATGAAGGAGAAGTTGATTATTATTATGTTTTATATAGTAAAATCAGAAGTAAGATTTCACATAACTCTAGCAGTACCTTGTGAAACATCCTATCTACCACTTTTTAAACTCTGAACCGCTTAAATAACCTTAATTCCCTCCAACCTGACACAGCCAAACAAAACAACGGAAGTTTCGATTTTGCCATGGAACAGAACGTGTAGACGGCTTTGCCGCTGGCCGCTGCCGCGGATCGCCTCCCGTGTGTCAGGTAATAAAAGCGACGGCGACAAATTTCGCTGATCGCGGTCGTTTGTCGCCTCCCGTGTGTTGAGCCCATAGTTCTTCAGGAACTTCAAGAGCGTGTCAAAGTGAGTATCTGCTGTGACATTGTTTTTAGGGTTAACTAGAAATGTTAGCCAGTCTCTTTTTATGAAGTCAGGTCACTTGCTTTCAATGGACTTAATGACTAACGGATTTTTTATGGCTCCAACGTTCCTCAGCTCTGTCAGATCTGCCAGGGCTTTCTCTACAGATTAAATGAGGTCAATGACTCTCCTCGGCTGGTTCCCTTCACCTGAGGCATTTTGTCTAATTCTTCAAGGATTTCAACTGCAATGGTAGACTTGTTGCCATATCTATTCTCCAGGACTCTGAACATATCATCTGCAGTTGTATAAGTTGACAGTCTCAGCTCCTTCACAATGGTCTCACTCACACTCTTCAGGAGCTGAATCTTGAGCACTTCAGGTGAGCCAGTGGGCTCTCCCTGCCTTTGCAGGCTCTCCCAGTCTTTTGTCCACCTGTGGAACTCTCATACTTCCCAGGAAGAGGGGCAGAGTAGTTGGTTTTATCTTCACAAAAGGTGGTAATGGTTGGATATGTTTACCGTTTGTGTCTTTATCAGCTAGCCTCCTCGATATGGCAAATTCAGCTTTTTTCAGTTTTAGCCTGCTGTGGGCCGCTCTCAGTCCTTGCAGTCTCCCATTCACTTCATCTCTCGATGATTCAGGAATCCACCTCTCCCACGCAGACATAGCTGAGATGGATGTACTAACCTTCTCACCTAATAACATGAGGTGAACCTCATAGCCCTCCAAATTGTCACTTTTGACTTGCATATTTTCAGCTCCATCAACTACTTCTTCTGCTTCATGAATTGATGTTTTAAGTTCTTTTTCTCCATATGTTCCCCACAGGTTAGTTTGTACAATGTCAGTAACCTTCATTTTATTCGGTCTGTTGCTGCTCATCAAGTTCTGCTTCTTCATCCGCTGCCTTGACATCAGCCTCCAGTCCAATCCTAAAGTCCTCATTAGAGTCAAGAACTGACCTGAACCGGTCTGAAAGTTTTCCAAATTCCTCCTTTAATTCAGTTTTTAGCATGATATCTGCTCCCCTTGTAATGAAGTTGGCAAGTCTGGTGAAGCTGCTCTTTGCACTGGTCCTCTCCTGCTTCAGCAGTTTGACCGTCTTCCCTAAGACCTCTTCTGCCATCTTTATTTCCTCTTGCGTCCACAGCTTTTCTGGTTTGAAGCCCTTTATCTTCTTATCCAGGGTGCTCTGTGGTTGTCAACTGTTAAGCTCCACACTACTCCAAAGGGACACTCAGGGACAACTCTTGATTTTGCTTTTCATCAACTTTTATTTTTCAACTCTTGTTGGTTTCAAGTTGATCAATGCACAATTTCATCAGGTTGATAACCTTCAAGCACAGAAACAAAGGTTAGCAACAATATTTTGTAAATAAATATTTTTAAAATAAAAAATAAATGAATGAACAAATGAATTGAACATTACACACATCAGTGTTCCACCCACACCTCAACACGGCTGTGACGAGGGGGTGGCGTCACAGCCAGAACAGCCACCGGTGACCAGCGAGTAAGACGCGCCGCGCCATCCTGCCGCTGCTACACAGAGACCTGGTAAGTAATCAGAATAAAGTGTTTAATAAAGTTTTTATTAAAAGATGACGATTCATTCATACTCTCTATTTCTCCATCCAGAATTATATCGGAGGAGGAATCAGCGACTCACTCGTCTTCAAAGAACGAACCGTATGAAAATGGCGTACATGCTTCTGCAGATCTCCTACGGGCTTGTGAACATCATGGGGAATGTTCTGTCTCTGAGACACGACAGAAGGGTTAACAATGGTAATTGAATTCATTGTGATGTTTTATAAAGTGTTTTAAACATCACCCTCGACCAATCGCGTCGTTTCCATTCAAGATTTTTTTTTTTCAAAAAGACCATATATCTGTAATGGGAAAAACCATCTCGGATCTCATTCTCTGAAGCACACCGTGATGTCAGGTAAGTGGAAGAATTTACTCAAACTACACCTTCCAATGTTTTATCAATCTACCGACACCTAATCTATTTTTTTTAGCCGCAACTGTCGTGTCATCCAAGAGTGAATGGGCTGGCGAAATCCCTCAGTCTCAATTAGAACGCGAGACACCGCCACCACCACCACCGCCACCAACCCCGCAAGAAACATTTAGCCAGCTCGACAGAGCTTTGAGCGAACTCGGTAAGTGATTTTTTATACATAATTTAATAACGTGATACATCCCTTTCAGCTGAGAAATGTCTTATTTCCCCAGAAGGACAGGGAGGAAACAGAGACGATCAGGAACGCCCCTCACAGCAATACGCCGCAAGTCAAGACTTTGTCACACCCACACCTCAACACGGCTGTGACGAGGGGGTGGCGTCACAGCCAGAACAGCCACCGGTGACCAGCGAGTAACCCCGGGTTTCCACGGGAGCCGTCAGCAGCACGTTACTGCAGCAGCACGTCTTGCTCGCGTGAGCTGCTGCTTGGCCCTTCCCACGAGACGCGAAGCAGCAGGGGAGCAGCTGTCACCGACCGAGCACGAAGTCACACGAGTGACTTCGTCAGTAAACACAACAACAATCAGGAGAAAATTACAACATGGTTTGTGTTTTATGTTCTGTCCGTTTAATAATCGCCAATACGGACCTGAAAAACAAAGGAGACCGCTAGCTAGGTGATCACTTCTCACGGGGACGCACAGTTAGCAACGTTTTTTAAAAGTAAAGCAACCGGAAGGCAGTACGTTCTTTATTCTGAAAATCTCGGGAGCTTCTCTCCATTTCCGCGTCCGATTTCCTGTCTTTCCTTCCCCAAAAATGTCGAAATTGACCCGTTTCAGAGGCGTCGCGCGTAGAAAATAGAACCGGCGCGTAAAGGCCGCGACATGCTGCTCCTTAGACGCGGCCGACTCGCGCTACTGATGGCTGCTGACGGCTCCAGTGGAAAACGTTCTGTTGACCACAGCGGTTCCTATCAGCAGCTGTGACGTGCTGCTGCAGTAACGTGCTGCTGACGGCTCCAGTGGAAAACGTTCTGTTGACCACAGCGGTTCCTATCAGCAGCTGTGACGTGCTGCTGCAGTAACGTGCTGCTGACGGCTCCCGTGGAAAGCCGGGGAAAGACGCGCCGCGCCATCCTGCCACTGCTACACAGAGACCTGGTAAGTAATCAGAATAAAGTGTTTAATAAAGTTTTTATTAAAAGATGACGATTCATTCATACTCTCTATTTCTCCATCCAGAATTATATCGGAGGAGGAATCAGCGGCTCACTCGTCTTCAAAGAACGAACCGTATGAAAATGGCGTACATGCTTCTGCAGATCTCCTACGGGCTTGTGAACATCATGGGGAATGTTCTGTCTCTGTGAGGATTAAAAGAGAGAGGAGGACCAAGGATTTATTTTTCATTCATCAAGTTTATAGTAGGTTTTTTCAATTTTTTTCTCTTTGTATCATGAGTCATAAGCCTGAATATTGTGATTTGCTACCGAATTGGTTCGATCTGAGTGGACTTTCAGATTTGGATGATGATGAATTAGCTTCAAATAATGGGATTTTAGATCGAATTCTAGCCTGCCAAACTCCTCCTCCTTCAGATGAGGCCGAAGAAATTCTATTAAATTCAGATCAGCCATCTCCACAAACTTTAGATGAAATTCTGAGGCAAATAGAACAATCACATGATGTTAACCATACACCTGAATACAATAATTTGCTGCTGCCGGATTGGTTTGATTTATGCAGACTTTCAGATCTGAGTGAAGTAGAGGATGAATTAGCTTCAAATGATGAGATTTTAGATCAAATTCTAGCCTGCCAAACTCCTCCTTCAGATGAGGCCGAAGAAATTCTATTAAACTCGTCCGCGCCTTCTCCCCATACTTTAGATGAATTTCAGAGGAAAATAGAACAATAAACCTTTTTCATTACCTTCTCCATCTCTGACGGATTTAGGATCGAGAGGAGATGCAGGAAGATAAATAGTCAAATAAAAACAAGTTCGTTTTGTACCTAGTGGTTGCAACAAACAGATTCCATTGAAAATAATCAGAAATGAGGAACAGAGAATGAAATTATCAGGGAGTTTGCGCCGCTAAGCAGGGGAACAGTAAAGATGCAAAAACTACCGTTGTTGAAAGAAATGTGTGACATGTGCAATTTTAATTGTCAAAAACTCCAGCAAATCAACCGGAGGGACCCCAGTGCGTGTTCTGGTATCTGTTCTGTTTTGCCTATAGTGAACTTTGGTTTGACGTCACTATTTGCGTTCCGGGAGCGTTTCATTTACAAATTAAGCACTGCTAATTTCGTTGAACGTGTTTCAGTGACAATAAAGATATTTATTCAAACCAGTTGTAATCTTGGCTTCATTGTGCTTCTATTATCCGTCGTCGTTGTTCTAGGATTCCTGAGAGAGACAATGCAGGCTGGTGTGGTTTACTGCGCTAGAGTTGAAGATGAAAAATTGTGAATCTTGTGATAAAAAGCATATTTTGGTTCCACTGGGGCTCGAACCCAGGACCTTCTGCGTGTAAAGCAGACGTGATAACCGCTACACTATGGAACCGTCTGTTATGGCAGACAGCTGGTTTTGTTTTTGTAACTGGATCTGGTTTGGTGACGACTGCAGGAAAGTTTCCGTTTTTTCTATTGATAACTGATTTTATTGATAACATTAATGCGGCGCCGCGGATAGAAATTATTGCTGCAGCATCACGGCTTTCAGCATTTGGAAACAAATGTGTTATAAGTTATAGGAGGGTTATTCATTTCCGGTGTTGTGCCATAAATCGACTCGCTGCCAAAAAATGATTAGCCACTAAAGAAAGGAAGGGGAAAATATCAAATCGCTGGAGAATTGTTTATTTACATTTATACAACGTTTAAATTCAATACAGGGCGCCATTTTACATTGTTTATTTATTTTTTTAGTATCAAGGCTGTAACATAAAGAAAGCCAGTTCTTACCACAAACCATCTTTCAATCGCAAATATTGCAAAAAGGATTAATATATCCTCATTGTGAACGTTTAAGACAAATAGCAACACTTAAAACAACTTCCGAACTGGACAAAACTAAGCTAATCATTTTTTGGCAGTGAGTCGATTTATGGCACAACACCGGAAACAGAATATTTAAGGGGAACACAATTATAGCCTACCTCTGGCTTACAGGAAAGAGGTCTGTGTGTAGATTTAAGGCGGAGCATTAAAACAGATAAACAGATACCTGCAGGTGTTATGCACCTGGTCACCAGCCCAGAGAGGACAAGCGCAGTTCTGCAGGTACGCTCGATTACATTAGTGTAATAGACATTGATAAGTATAGAAGGGCTGTTTTTTACTGAAAGTGCGTTTATTTAATTTATTGAATGGATTAATGAGCATATTAATGTAAAGCCTTTATAAATTATAGTGTTTATGAATGAATATTTTCCAGATGAAGCGTGGAGAAAACACTGTGAGGTCTTCATGAATGTTATTGATTTATCACAGCTTATATATCTGAGTATTTACTGGTAAAATGTAAACTAGTCAGAGCCCTGAAATGTCTTTTCATTTAAACTTAAAACTAAAGATTTGTGATGTTTCTCTCGCTTTTAAAATGATCGGAAATGATTGAATATACTAACTTCAAACAGGTGTTTAATATTACACCACACGTTCGCCCGGGAGAGGACCTGCCAGGTGAAGACTCAGCTGGTCCCACTGGGAGGAAGAAGTCCCTTTAAACTGAAAGAGTTCAGTTGTTTGTTGTTTGGTTTGAGTCTCTGCATATGCCTGCTCTTCCACCCACGTTAACGGCTGCTCATTTCCAATTCAAATGTCAGAGAATTAAACAAATGAGATGCTGTCAGAATGAGACAGATGAGTGTTCTATACTTCCTACTCCTTTCGCCTGCACTTCCTGTAAGATCAGACAGGGAAAGCACCTACTTCAGGCTGGCAACACACATATGACTGTTATAGGGATCTTTCTATGTTACCATGGTAACGTGCATCAGCTTTATGCTTGGGAACCCTGAACAGAGAGCATGTTCTCTGGAAATAATCCAAACAAGTTTTACATCTGTCCCTCCATCTGTTTTCTGAACCCGCTTGTCCACGTAGGGTCGCGGTGGGCAATCAGGCGGGGTACACCCTGGACAGAGAGCCAGTCCATCGCAGGGCAACACAGAGACACACATGAGAAACAATCATGCACACACACACACACACACACACACACACACACACACACACACACACACACACACACACACACACACACACACACACACACACACCTAAGGGCAATCTAGACAGACCAATCAACCTAACAGTCATGTTTTTGGACTGTGGGAGGAAGCCGGAGTACCCGTAGAGAACCCACGCATGCACAGGGAGAACATGCAAACTCCATGCAGTAAGACCCCTGGCCGGGAAGACCCCAGGACCTTCTCGCTGCAAGGCAACAGCTCTAACCACTGCGCCACTGCACAGCCTACAAATCTTACATGAAACCAAAAGCGTTTTATTTCCTGTTTGGGTTAGGATTCTGCTCTTTAGCCTCCTATTTGCTGGTAGACCCAACTTCTATTGCAGTCCAGCTAAAATGGATTGTCTCAGCTGGTCAGAGTCCTGGTGCAAGCATTGGTGTTACTGGTGCAGCAGAGGGAACTCCAGCTGCTCATATCACCTGTTCAGAGCAGCTTAGCTAGGAATGAATCACAGGGACACTCAGAGACAACCAGTCACACACTCACTATGGACAGTTTAGTATCCAGTTAACCTGACATGAATGTTTTGGCTCTGTGGGAGGAAACTTACACCTGTATGAAGAGAACATGCTAACTCCATGCAGAAAACCTGCAACCTTCTTGCTGTGAGGCAACACTGCCACCAATTGTACCTGTACCACAGCCAACGACTGGGGGGGGGGGGGGCAGTTCAGTAATGGAAGACCAGTGGTCCTGACTCGTGTTCATCTGCTGCTCACCAGCTCTGTCACCAACACATCTGACATGATGACCTCCTGCCAGGAGTTTGAAGTGACTGTCCACACCTCACCTGGTCCCACCTGTGGAACCTTCAACCACCTGTGGCTCAGGCTGATTGGTTCCCAGAGCGAGACTCCGCCCATCTGTGTGACCCAGGGCAGTCATCTCCTGTCAGGATCGGTGAGTTTCATCAGTAAATTTGCAACAAAAATATATTGACAAACTAATCGGAACGCTCTTCCTAAAATTGATTTGATTAGCAACAGAACAATAAATCACACATTATGGTCAATTATATTGTTAATAATTCAAAATTTAAGGAAAAGAAAAAAAAGCCACTGAATCTCAACGGCAGTGTCATCAGCAAGGAGGGCAGTAGAGGGCGACACTGTCCGCCTCTGCTGCCCGTGAATGAAAGGAAGTGACGCATCGCCCAAGCCCTTAGCCAGCCGCTAAAAGAGGCGCTTTGGTTTGTAAATGGGGACGCCCCCTTCTTCTTATTTGCTCCTGAAACGTTACTTCACCTCCGATATTTCAAAATAAGATATTTTCTCCGCTCATCTATCTGTTCACCTACTTTTTATACAGTTATTGTCTGTGCTCACCCTGCCCTTTCATTTTGTGTTGCTGGTTTGGTCCCAGTGAATTTTGGTCCCAGTCCACCCCTGGAGACCACCAGAGCAGAACGGATGTTCTTGTTCTACCATTCTTTCTGGTTCCACTCAGAAAAGCTCCTCCATCATCCATCTCCAATCATAATGACGAGTTGGACTGTTATCATCTAGACCCCTCCAGATGTTATACAACTCGCAGAGCAGACAGCACGTGGAATGTTCACAGACAGAATAAAGAACATTACTGAATGAAGTAACCCTGGATATTACTGTAGTTAAAACTGTGTTTACTTTTATTCTCTCTTCATTATGTCCTCACAGACCTGTCTGGTCTCCATCCGGTCTAACGACCCATTGGGACAGCTGGTCCTGGTTCAACTACGATTGGAAGCCCACACTGGATTTCCCAACTTGGACTGGCATTGCAGCAGAGTGGAGGTCCGTCATGTGGTGGATGGTACCGATGACTCCCAAACTCAGATGTTTCTGTGTGACAGGTGGCTGAAAACAGCTGATGGAGACATCGAACTACGTAGCGGAAAGTGTGAGTCTAATCAGCTATTGGTCTAAAAATCTTCTTCTTGCTGTCAGCTGTGACTGAAAAAGCATTAGAACAAAATGCACTTATAACCGTAAAAGGCTTTAATGTAAGACAGTAGAGCTTTAAATTAACCAAATATTAATTCTCCTCTTTGTAAATTTTGTTTCAGTGTGTTTGCTGGCAGAAGAAACTGAAGACAAACTGAAGCAGCATCGCCTTAAACAGCTGCAACACCAGCAGCAGCTTATCAGGTGCAACAGGAATTCAGGTTATCCTGATCAGGTGGAATCAGACCATCTTCATCTTGGTCATAAGCTAAACCAGGTGGGATCAGACCATCTTCATCTTGGTCATAAATTAAATCAGGTGGGATCAAACCATCTTCATCTTGGTCATAAATTAAATCAGGTGGGATCAGACCATCTTCATCTTGGTCATAAGCTAAACCAGGTGGGATCAGACCATCTTCATCTTGGCCATAAATTAAACCAGGTGGGATCAGACCATCTTCATCTTGGTCCTTAGCTAAACCAGGTGGGATCAGACCATCTTCATCTTGGTCCTTAGCTAAACCAGGTGGGATCAGACCATCTTCATCTTGGTCATAAATTAAATCAGGTGGGATCAAACCATCTTCATCTTGGTCATAAGCTAAACCAGGTGGGATCAGACCATCTTCATCTTGGTCCTTAGCTAAACCAGGTGGGATCAGACCATCTTCATCTTGACCATAAATTAAACCAGGTGGGATCAGACCATCTTCATCTTGGCCATAAATTAAACCAGGTGGGATCAGACCATCTTCATCTTGGTCCTTAGCTAAACCAGGTGGGATCAGACATCTTCATCTTGGTCATAAGCTAAACCAGGTGGGATCAGACCATCTTCATCTTGGTCATAAGCTAAACCAGGTGGGATCAGACCATCTTCATCTTGGTCCTTAGCTAAACCAGGTGGGATCAGACCATCTTCATCTTGGCCATAAATTAAACCAGGTGGGATCAGACCATCTTCATCTTGGTCCTTAGCTAAACCAGGTGGGATCAGACCATCTTCATCTTGGTCATAAGCTAAACCAGGTGGGATCAGACCATCTTCATCTTGGTCCTTAGCTAAACCAGGTGGGATTAGACCATCTTCATCTTGGTCATAAGCTAAACCAGGTGGGATTAGACCATCTTCATCTTGGTCATAAGCTAAACCAGGTGGGATCAGACCATCTTCATCTTGGCCATAAATTAAACCAGGTGGGATCAGACCATCTTCATCTTGGTCCTTAGCTAAACCAGGTGGGATCAGACCATCTTCATCTTGATCATAAGCTAAACCAGGTGGGATCAGACCATCTTCATCTTGGCCATAAATTAAACCAGGTGGGATCAGACCATCTTCATCTTGGTCCTTAGCTAAACCAGGTGGGATCAGACCATCTTCATCTTGGTCATAAGCTAAACCAGGTGGGATCAGACCATCTTCATCTTGGTCATAAGCTAAACCAGGTGGGATCAGACCATCTTCATCTTGGTCCTTAGCTAAACCAGGTGGGATCAGACCATCTTCATCTTGGTCATAAGCTAAACCAGGTGGGATCAGACCATCTTCATCTTGTCCTTAGCTAAACCAGGTGGGATCAGACCATCTTCATCTTGATCATAAGCTAAACCAGGTGGGATCAGACCATCTTCATCTTGGTCCTTAGCTAAACCAGGTGGGATCAGACCATCTTCATCTTGGTCATAAATTAAATCAGGTGGGATTAGACCATCTTCATCTTGGTCCTTAGCTAAACCAGGTGGGATCAGACCATCTTCATCTTGGTCCTTAGCTAAACCAGGTGGGATCAGACCATCTTCATCTTGACCATAAATTAAACCAGGTGGGATCAGACCATCTTCATCTTGGTCCTTAGCTAAACCAGGTGGGATCAGACCATCTTCATCTTGATCATAAGCTAAACCAGGTGGGAATAGACCATCTTCATCTTGGTCCTTAGCTAAACCAGGTGGGATCAGACCATTTTCATCTTGGTCATAAGCTAAACCAGGTGGGATTAGACCATTTTCATCTTGGTCATAAGCTAAACCAGGTGGGATCAGACCATCTTCATCTTGGTCACAAGCTAAACCAGGTGGGATCAGACCATCTTCATCTTGGCCATAAATTAAACCAGGTGGGATCAGACCATCTTCATCTTGGTCCTTAGCTAAACCAGGTGGGATCAGACCATCTTCATCTTGATCATAAGCTAAACCAGGTGGGATTAGACCATCTTCATCTTGGCCATAAATTAAACCAGGTGGGATCAGACCATTTTCATCTTGGTCATAAGCTAAACCAGGTGGGATTAGACCATTTTCATCTTGATCATAAGCTAAACCAGGTGGGATTAGACCATCTTCATCTCGGTCCTTATCTGAACCAGGTGGGATCAGACCATTTTCATCTTGGTCATAAGCTAAACCAGGTGGGATTAGACCATTTTCATCTTGGTCATAAGCTAAACCAGGTGGGATCAGACCATCTTCATCTTGGTCCTTAGCTAAACCAGGTGGGATCAGACCATCTTCATCTTGGTCATAAGCTAAACTAGGTGGGATCAGACCATCTTCATCTTGGTCATAAGCTAAACCAGGTGGGATTAGACCATCTTCATCTTGGTCATAAGCTAAATCAGGTGGGATCAGAACATTTTCATCTTGGTCATAAGCTAAACCAGGTGGGATTAGACCATTTTCATCTTGGTCATAAGCTAAACCAGGTGGGATTAGACCATCTTCATCTTGGTCATAAGCTAAATCAGGTGGGATCAGAACATTTTCATCTTGGTCATAAACTAAATCAGGTGGGATCAGAACATTTTCATCTTGGTCATAAACTAAACCAGGTGGGATTAGACCATCTTCATCCTTGTCCTAAACTAAACCAGGTACTCATCTTCTTTGTGGGATTGTGATTTCAGGTGGCGTTCTTTTGTTGATGGAGCTCCTCAGTGTGCCGACTTCAGCAGTATGTCGGAACTTGGGCCAAACCTCAGCTACACACACAAAAGGTAAAGCTCATAAGCAGAATGTGGTTATTTAAATAGAAGCAGGTTAATCTGGGACTCTAATCCTGTATGCTTCTTGGTCCTCAGTCCACCCATCGATGTGCACTACCTGAAGGGCTTTGCAGGCCGAACCCAGGCCTGGACCAGTTTCTCAGAGCTGGAGACGGTTTTTGCTCACAGCGGAAACCAAAACAACATTGCTAGTAAGAAGTACCTGAAACAGAATCCGTTGTTTTTCTCTTCATTGTGTTTCCTGTTTTTGTGATTGAAGCCAAGAAGAGCCTGAAGCTGAGGTGGATCACCTGTCCAGGTGTTTTCTATAGTCTTGTGGAATTGATTAGGACACATTTAATTTACCTGTCAGGGTTCGTTAAGGCTAACTGGAAGGAGGACTGGTACTTTGGCTACCAGTGTCTGAATGGCTGCAATCCTCTGCTGATCCATCAGATCAGCCTCATCCCTTCAAACTTGGCTGTCACCTCTGATATGCTCCGCCCCTTTCTGCCTGGAGGCTCCTCCCTTAAACAGGAACTGCAAGTGAGTGATCCCAGCTTTCTGTGGCTTTGTCCTTGTGACTTTTATCTTGAGGTGCTATATGAAAAATTGATTCTTCTTCTTGAATGTTCCTGATGTGACAGAAAGGAACAATTTACCTGTTGGACTACGAGATTTTGGATGGAATTCCTGCCAACCTGGTCAACGGAAACCAGACGTACCTATCAGCTCCTCTGTGCCTACTTCATCTGAACCAGCAAGGAGAGATGGTCCCCATCGCCATCCAGGTGAGCTCTGACTCAGGTAGATTTGCTGTTATTGCTCAAACTCTGGGTCAGCATTGCTCAGTGACATTCCCTCCTTCAGCTCCTGCAGAACCCTGGCCCTCATAATCCGGTCTTCCTGCCCTCTGACTCCAACTGTGATTGGCTGCTGGCTAAGATTTGGGTTCACAATGCAGACTTCCAGTGTCACCAGCTGATCTCTCATTACATGAAAACCCACATGATAGCGGAACTGTGCTGTGTGGCCACGCTGAGGCAGCTCCCAGACCAGCACCCACTGCACCAGGTAGAACCTGACCCGAGAACACGCTAAAAACTCAGAACACGTCAGTCTGTATGTAGAAGCTTGGATAAGGACGCTTCTGTAGTCTGCAAGTGTGTGTGTATGAGTGGGGTCTCCACTGGACCCCTATTGTTAATGAGCTTCAGACACACACACACACACACACACCCTTGTGTTTGTTGTTCGTGTCTTTTGTCCCTGCTTGTCATCTATTATTTCCAAGCAGATTATTCTCTTCCCTGATTGGCTGTCTTCCCTCAGTTGCTGATGCCTCACGTAAAGACATCTCTACAGATAAACCTTCAGGCCCGAGCCTCTCTGCTGGCTGCTAAAGGAGTGTTTGATCAGGTAAAACTCACCTGTAGTGCAAAAAAAAAAAAAAAAAAGATTTCAGCATCAAATCCAGTCAATGGCTTCAAATGGTTCCTGGGTGGATTTTTCTCCTGCAGGCAGTGAGTTCTGGTCTGAAGACCATCCCCGTTCTCCTCTCCCGAGCAGCAGCAAGGACACGCTATCGGTCGCTATGTGTCCCTGACGACGTGGCGGACCGTGGTGTGGACAAACTACCTCACAGCTACTATGCTCAGGACGCATTGAGAGTCTGGGATACACTGTACAGGTAAACTCTCTCACAGGTAAACTTGCCAACAGGTAAACTCACTTCACAGGTGAACTCGCTGTCGACAGGTTTGTGTGCAGTTGGGTCGAGCTGTACTACAGAACAGACAAACACGTCCAGAACGACTGCGAGCTTCAGAATTGGATCTGTGACATCAATACGCACGGCTTCTCAGGCGACTCAGGTGAGGTGACCTGACCCAGGAGATCAGGGCTACTCTGATAAATCCCTGTTTCACAAATCACATCTGTTCACTCAATGAATCGTCGTTACCACCAAAGATGCTCAGGTGGATTCAATCTTCTCTAATCAAAGTGAGACTCACGAGCGTCCTCAGACAGACCCTGTTAATGGATGCTAGATAAATGAGAATGAAGGACAGAACCTCGTTCTTCTCCTAGATGGAGCAAAAATGATTCATTCATGCCTGCATGAGCTACAGAGATATCAGAACTAAAACAGAGACCACCAACTGTTTGATTACAGGCCTCGTCCAATCACATTCACCCAGCTTCAGCTAGCCTAGCTGCCGGCCTGCCACGGGGCAGGTTTGTTCTCCAGCATGCGTTACCATGTGGGGATTTAAACTGGGACTTTTAAAGAGAGCCTGGATTTTGGTATTAACTCGCAATGTGGTGTAGCCCCAGGTATGATGTTATGATTTAGAAACACGGACAAAATCAAAACATTTCCACACAACAGCTGATAAGGACGCCCATCCTTATGGGTTGACTGGATCTTTTAAACGAATATATGGTTTCCAGGTTTCCCTTCGTCTTTTCACACCAAAGCAGAAGTGTCCAAGTTTGTCACCATGCTTATCTACTCGTGCTCAGCTCTGCACGCTGCTGTCAACTTCTCCCAGGTGAGTCTGATGACCTCATCCAGGTGTGATCAGACGATGGATGCTTGAGACAAACTGAGGCTCTTTATGTTTTGCAGTTGGACTTTGCTCTCTGGATGCCCAACTGTCCAGGCACCATGATGCAACCTCCTCCACAGGTCAAAGGTCAAATAACAGAGGACGACATTGTGTCCTTCCTGCCAGATGCCAATGCTGCCTGTCGAGTTGTAATGACACTGACCATGCTGTCACAGCCAGGCCTCGACTTTGTAAGCCTCCACTCAACAGTCCTGTTCCAGGAGGACAACTTGAACACACCTTCAACATGTTAACATAGCTCTGAGTGTAAAATAACAGTTGTCTCCATCTGCAGATTCCTCTGTGTGACTACAGGGAGGCCATCTTTAGGACTGAGGACCACCACGAGCTGGTGCAGAAAGTACGAGCTGAACTCAAGGCCATTTCTGATGACATCACAGAGCGTAACAGCCAATTGGCGCTCCCGTATCCATACCTTTGCCCCTCAGGGATTGACAACAGTGTAGCCATTTAAACCAGCGTCCGTCGACACCTCTGTCCTCTAAGCCAGGGGTTCCCAAAACTTTTCAGTCCGTAACCCATAAATTAACAGTTTCAAAGTCCCGCGACCCCCTGGAGATGAGTGAAATAATTAAACACACACGTAGAACTTAATCTTTAATAAGTGTACTCAAATAGACAGGTTTAGAACCCTCAACAGGTAAATATGGTCCGAATTCACATTTGAAAACTGTAAAAGGCGACTCTGAAAACATTCTTGCTGTTGTGTGCAAACTTTAATATGTTACAATCCTTTGCAGTTTTTGTAAGAACTAGGCAGTCGGTTAGCTTTTTGGTAATTATCAGCTTCTGAAGTGACAGCAACTCAGTGCCACAACAATCTCCACACTTTCTCCCTAATTTTACTCTCTCCCATCCCCCTCCCTGCACACGCTCACACAAACACAGCATTGCCATGGCAACAAATGGACATGCATCTCTGCCTCCCTTGAGTAAACATTTCCAGAACATATTAAAACAAAACTCCTAAACAGGTTACAAATGTTTGTAACAAATGCAACTCTTGATGAAATCTTAAAAAATGGTAACGGAAAAGTGCTTTCATTTCGATGTAGCAAAAATAAATAAATAAAATAAACTCATGCAAAGTCACAAACGATGTAATACAGAGGAACTTTGTTTCCGTGCTTATTCACATTTTCAGAATGTATGAGATGGGTGGGCAATATGCTTGGAGCCGAGCAAGTCCATTCTGGGTTTAATTTTAGAGATGGCCACTCGAAGATCATCCTGCACGTTAAGACGTGATCTGTATTTATTTTTAATATATGTGAGGGTTGAGAAAGTCTTTTCACACAGGTATGTGGACCCAAACGGCGTCAGAATGTCAATCGCAGTGACTAGCTGTGGATATTCTCTCTCAACTGAAATCCAGAACTCGGCAAGCATCTTTGATTTAAAAGCGCTCTTTAAGGTGCGGTCACTTGACAGTTCAACCAGTGCGTCCTCAATGTCGGATGACAAATGATGTGTGCTTGTTACGGTGAATGGACATCTTATCCAGTCATAAGCTTCTGGAGCTTTTTCCTCAGGAAAAAACTTGATAAAGTGTTCCAAGAGGGTTTGAAGGTGCATGGTGCTAACACACAAATCATTTTCCTCCATGAACTCCTCCAGTTCAGGAAACATGTCAAAACAGCCCGTTTTTACTCGTGCACACCACCGATCCAGTTTCCTTTTGAATGCATCGATTTTGTCATTCAGTGACATGATGTTTGCGTTTTCAACTTGTAGTGATGTGTTTAACCCATTCAGCTTGTCAAATATGCAAGCCAAGTATGCTAGCCTTGTTAACCAGTCAGGATCAGTCAGATGGGCAGCAAGGTGAGACCCGTGCTCCAACAAAAATAGGCGCACCTCATCCCGCAGCTCAAACAAGCGCCTGAGCACGTTTCCCCGTGACAGCCACCTGACTTCTGTGGATAATGCAGACTTTGATGCTCTGATCCCATTTCGTTGCAGAGAGCAGCAAACAGTCTTGTGTTCAGAGGACGGGTTTTTATGTAGTTGACAATTTTTGTTGCCCTCTCAAGCACCGTTTTAAGCTCTGGGTCTAGCGATTTACTCGCCAGAGCTTCTCTGTGGATAATGCAGTGCGTAAAGTTTAAGTGTGGGGCCACTTGTACAACTCTTGCTTTAAGTCCTTTATTTTCCCCCAGCATTGCTGCAGCACCATCTGTGCACACACTGATGCATTCATCCCAAGACAGCCCCTCTTCTTTCAGTTTTTTATCAATTTCTGTGAAAATGCCCTCACCTGTGCACTTTGCTGACAGTGTGGTGCAAAACAGCATGTCCTCGTGACGTTTTCCATCAAAACTGTATCTGACAAAAACAAGCAGCTGTGCAGAGTTTGCGACATCTATGGATTCATCTAACTGCAAAGCATATTTTCCTCTCTTGACTCTGTCAATCAATTGAGACTTGATGTCCTGTGCATAGGCGTCATTTTAACCGGGGACGCCGGGGACATGTCCCCGGCAAAATTTGTGATTGGCAGCTGTGTCCCCCCCACTTTAAAAAATGCCTGCTGATGAGGATTTTTGTTTTACCAGCTCAGATCTTATACCAGGGGTCGGCAACCTGTTCCCATCAAAGAGCCATTATTAACCGTTTCCCACAGTAAAGAAAACACTGGGAGCCACAGCGGCCGTGGCGTTGTGGGCGGGGCCTAGCCTCAGACAACAGAGAGCTGCTCACAACAGGTGACAGCAGCCGGTACCGGTCGCTCGCATGGGCGTCGCACCCGTGGGGGATTCAACACCCACACTTTTCCTTCGGTTTTGCTCACCTCCACACCAGTCTGGTTTCTCTATGTCGCACTCACTCTGTTTGCCTCATCTCCTTCTTCACCTCCCGCTTCTGACAGCCGATGTCGGGTTTCCAGGAGAGCAGGAGAGGGAGGGACGGAAGAGCTCGACTGAATTCATAATTTTACATCTTGACATTAGCTGTACAAAGTCTGAGTTTGATAACGTGAAGAACAACAATTTGCAGAGGTTAATAACTGGCGCGGTGCCAGGTTTTCATTTTTGGGTGGGCCACGGTCATTCTGGACGGACCTTAATAAGCAGTGACTTAGTGAAGCAGGCAGGTCACGCTAGAAAATTTAGTTTAAAAAGACGTCATAAATGTGTTCCCCCATCATTTTTATTTCTAAAACATGAAGTAAAAACTCCCAATTTAATTTTCATTCATTTGCCATTAATATGTAGTCTACACCCGTGCGTTAAGTGGACCATCTTCCAGTGAAAGCAAAGCTTCCAGCCCACCTCTCCAAATGCATAAAATGTGCATCAGCCGCTAGTTAGGCGCACCACGTGCACCGTCAGCTACGTCAGCCCAGACAAGAGCAGAGCAACTAGAAAAAGAATAGAGGATAATTCTGTCTGGATGTGGACGGAGATTACATTTTACAGCAGCCTGATCATCATTTAAATACGTAAACCATCACCTGTCTTCTAGTCCACGCTATCAGCATTGTTTTAATTGGTGTGTGTGTGTGTGTGTGTGTTTTCCACTTCAAACACTGGTCTAACCAACCAGACCAGCGTGTCCAGTAACATATTAATGTTACAATTAAACAGTTTCACTTCATGTAGGCTAGGAACATTTCACCTGCCGTGGCCCGACCGCTTCTGCTCCACATGAACTTAGTGCGTGATCAAATGTCTCTACAGGTGCTTTATGAGCTGAAGAGCTATTCTGCCTCAGACTGGATGCATCATGTGTCTCCATATTAGAGACGGGAACAACTGCTGTTCAGCCAAAGTTTCATAATTTCATAAAAAGAACATTTTTCCAAGTGACACATCCCTCAGAGAGACCGGGTTTCCAGACCGCTTCAGTGGGAGGAAATCTTATCGCATGCACCGTGGTTCTGCGCTGCGAACCCCTCTACAGATCTTCAGCCCACTGTCCACCGTGGGCGCTCCGAGCCGCGCTGAACACAGTGTCCAGTATAAAGCTCTGATGTTCTGATGGGAATCAAGTTACCTCTGCGATGTGCGTAACGATTAAAATGTCAGCTCATCCATGCGCATCAGTGTGCATCGGGGTAATTCTTTCAAAACAACCAACATCCTTGAGTTTATCCGTCAATATGTGACAAGGTGGAGAAACAAGGGCCCAGGCGGGATTCGATCCCCAGACTCCCGGGTGAGAGTCATACGCTCTAACCAGTCAGACAAAGGGAAATCCCCTTGGCCAAGCAGCCAGGGCGCATGATCTATCGGGACACTGTGACAGGACACTCACACTGCCACACCTGATTATGAAACTTTGGCTGAATAGCGCTTGTTCCTGTCTCCAATGTGGCGACGCATCCAGGAGCCTGTCTGAGGAGAAGCCCAGAATCTCACATCCTCCAGCTCAGACAGCGCCTACGATTACGCACAAGCGTGACGCGTCAACCCGGTCTCACAGTAAGACCGGGTTGGACCTGTTCAGGTTTACGCAGACAATCTTTACATTTAGAATTGGCATACAGATGTAAAATTAATGCAGTAAAATGTAAAGCATTTTATTTAAATATCCATTCATTATTTTACAAGCACAGAGAGCCGCATCAGATGGATGGAAGAGCCGCATGCGGCTCCAGAGCCGCCGACCCCTGTGCTAGCCTACTTTATTGTCCCCAGCAATTTTTAACCCCCACTCAAGTGTATGGTTATTGTCCCCAGCAATTCTGAAAATAAACTGACGCCCTTGGTCCTGTGCCATCTCTGTGATGCGCTGGGATATTGTCCCATCAGACCGCGGGACCGCTTTCAGCTCCTGGGCTTGTTTATCTCCATGCATTATTTGGCTCATTGCGATGGCAGCAGGTTTTATTAGGATCTCTCCGATTGTGTGCGGGTTTTTTGTTGCCTGTGCAATTAAATATGCCACCTCATATGATGCCTTTTGAGCTTTTGCAGAGATTGTTTTCTGGTTGGTCATAACTTTCTTTTGGCTTTGAAATGCTCTCGCTTTTCGACGGAAGAAGTCTGCTGGTTTAGCTGCAACTGAGGAGTGCTTAGTTTTCAAATGTCGGAGCATTTTTGCAGGCTTAAAGCTCTCATTTGCAAGCAACTCAGTGCACATTACACATTGGGGGTATTGTATTTCGTTTATAACTGTGCACGTAAATCCATAATGGATATATTCCTCTCGATACCTGCGAAATTTAGGCGAAGGCTGATTCAGCTGCGCCTTACACCGCAGCTTATGGGCTCCTCCTCCCGCCTCAGATGTGGAAGGCGGATCCCCGCTGTTCTCCGAGTCTGCTGCTGCTGCATGATCAGTTGGCTTCTGGTCGTCTCTAATATGTGTTAACCAGCGCTTCATATTGCATATAAACCATATTACCGTAAAACTTTTTGGAATATTTGAGTTGTTCAGAAGAAACGTGTTTACCGCGGCGCTGCAAAGTAACCCGTCAGTCGCAAATTGAGCTGCCGTAAGAGCCTTGTTTCGCGACCCAGCAGGGGCGTATTGCGACCCCCGGGGGGGTCGTGACCCCGGAAATGGGAACCCCTGCTCTAAGCCTGCGTCCGTCGGCACCTCTGTCCTCTAAGCCTGCGACCGTCGACACCCCTGCCCTCTAAGCCAATGCCCGTCTGCACCCCTGTCCTCTAAGCCAATGTCCGTCGGCACCTCTGTCCTCTAAGCCTGCGTCCGTCGGCACCTCTGTCCTCTAAGCCTGCGTCCGTCGGCACCCCTGTCCTCTAAGCCTGCGTCCGTCGGCACCTCTGTCCTCTAAGCCAATGTCCGTCGGCACCCCTGTCCTCTAAGCCAATGTCCGTCGGCACCTCTGTCCTCTAAGCCTGCATCCATCTGCCCAAAACCACCAGCAGGAGAAAACCAAAGGAAAATAAATTAATTTCCAGAGATGTAAAACTGGAATAGAAACTAGAGTCCAACCAAAGTTAGAGACTCTCTTTTAGACGAAACAGTAAAATAAATGTGCAGAAAAATAAAGTCGTTGGGAAAGTGCTGGTCACTTGTTTGTTTCCATGATGTTGGAGCTATTTAGGTTAGTTCCAGTTTTGGGTTATTTATTGGGTTTAGTTGTTGGTTAATGATGATTTTATTTATTTATTTTAGTTTTGCCTGTGAGA